CTGCTGGTTCTGAAGGAGAAATCCTTACATTAGGCACGCGACAGGAGTGATATGTGACAATCGGTAGGCGGGCCAAACAATCTCTTGAGGCCTCAGAGATGTGGTTTTACAGAAAAATGCTTAAAATACCTTGGACAGCCAAAAAGAGCAACCAAGAGGTTTTAATAGAGGCGAGAGCTCGAAGACATCTTATCACAGACATCAGAAGTAGTGTTATCATTTTTCGACCACGCCAGTCGGCATGGCACCTGATGATGATGATTGTCGAAATCGACACAAAACGGTCTGCTCCCACATCGCACTGCCACATCGCATGCAGCAGCTGAAGTGAAACCGGAAACCAGTTTGTAGGAAATGTCGAAATTATGGAACTGAGCTCATAACCCATGACGCCCCTCGTGACGACAAAGGTCGTTTGCTTGAAATCAGATGACAGCCCACAACTGCAAATGCATACCCCCAAATGCACACCAAAACAAGCACACACAAAACTGCTCGACAATTGACCACAGCGGTAGCGATCTCTGCCAATTTTGGAACACCCCTGAGATATTAGACTGTCCCGTGACCTATGACTTGGGGGGGGGGGGGGGATTAACAATTCTATGTTTACATACGTGATTAATTATAAACAAACAGACTCCCAGCTGTATATAAATAATCTGAGATGCTGTAAACGTCAAGAGTTCACATATCTGCTCGATGAACGGTTCATACTATTAGTATTACTAGTATTATTATTAAATCTAACTCACTAAGCGACTCAATGAATATGCTCAGGGGAGTAAATTAACGCTGGTCTCCTCATTAGCACATCACCGGTTGTAGGTCAACTCCCTTGATAAGTTAATTGGACTAGTCTACCGTAGTCGAGGTTATGGGTGTCTCAGTCTGTTGTTGTCTGGTATTTGTGTTTTTATTTCCGAGAAAGAGACAGCCCGTGACTTCGGTTTTGTCCCTCTCTAGGAAGGGTTGTGTGTTAGATCCAGTATCTAAATATTTTAGAAGTGGTAAAAGCTCTGGCATGGGGAAATAACCAACATGCGGTATAAGCGCGAGTGCGGAATATCCCTGTGACGTGTGAAAGTCGGATCGCTCGAGGCCGACCTATCAGGGGTAAGCTGGTCAGTAGGTCGTCCAGTCAGAAGCGAGCTAGTGTGCAGCGGTGCTAATGGTGAGACGAGCGTAAAATTTACCTGCCCAGGAAAATCCAAGCAAAACCTGATTCTTTCATTAAATGCATCGCAAATAGTTGGCCTACCCTTATATTCTTGGTAATCAAATTGTCAATGTTTAATGTAATGAACATGCCGATTATTCTATAAGGAAAATGGGGTTACAATGACTGGGCAAGTGATGTAACGCCAAGCTGGATGCATATCCTTGTCCATGCTGGTGGATATATGAGTTATTTTATCACAGTCGACGTCATGCACATTGACATTCTCATGCGGGCTCAGTCATCCGATGAAGCAGCCACTTCAAGCTACCTTTACTTATTATATCCGTGAGAAGTGCTGAATATAATACAAAACGTGACTAGAAAGCACAACGGAAGGAATTCCGTTGATAAAGACTTTAGTCGAAACATTCGGTTGTGCTTGCGTGCGTCTTTACAATTCCTGTCTTTGAGCTTTCGGGTCACATTTTGTGTTATATTCAGCATTTCTTGAAATCCGCTCGACCCCTGTTTACATCATCACTTTAGATGTTTATAGCCAATAGAAGTTGGTTATAGTGTCTGCTGTCTTAACCTCAAAACACATGCTTCACCAGCTTTACTCCCAGGTCACGCAATAGCGTTAGCGTCAACGATTCATCATTTGCCTCCAGCCTAGTCCGTACAGCGTTGCTGGAATCAGCTCTCCCCATGCTTCTTCCCGTTTGCACTGGTGCATTACTTGTCAGCTGTTCGGTCCTTTCATTTTGTTTTATTTGACCCTTGCCTAGCTAAACTGTACGGTTGGTACCACACCCGATGTTTTTTGGTGTCCTATAAATTTTACATTAATATTTTAAATTTTGACATTGTGTTGAACATTTTCACACACAAAAAAGGTGATTGAGATTGTACTGAAAATAAGCATGATGCAATTATTAAAGCAAATCTACCATTTGATTGAGTGGTCAAGTGCTCAGATCGAGATTTCTGCCCAACGACCGAGCTGGATTTGTACATGTAGGAGAAGCTTCACGGGGGAGCATGATCTGAAAACGCCAGCCGGAAGGATGAAATGCGAGGTTGCACCAAGTGGTAAGCGTCGGGGCATAGCTATTCCTGTAGTTAATGTTTACAATAAACGATGGGAAGAGTTATCCAACCTCGCCCAGAGAGGCCCAAGACGTCTATCACGGAGGCGAACATTTGAGATCTATGACGAAGTGCGGTGGAGATCAAGTTTCCATCCGCAAGCGATAATGTGTCTTGGTGCACATTGGAGGGGATACTTTGTGAGAAAATTATTGGTGAACTTAAGAAAAAAAAAGTCGCTAGGTCACAAGCTAACATGGTTTGGTGACATAATCTACATGCACTGTGCCCGCGAGTTCAGGACAGTCGAGAAGACGCAGCCAGACGTCACGCACGTTAAAAGCAGGAGGCAGAAAGACACTGAGACGGGCCGATCAGAAAAGAGTGCACTCAGAAAACGGTTCTAAGCCGCTACAGGCACCGAAAGGCAGGGACTGTACGAGGTCTGCTTGCACCTGAAGGCCAGACACAGTGAACTCTGTCACGCGGAGCGTTTCTGTAAGAAAGACGAAGAACCAAAATAGGAGCGAGAGGCCTTGTTTCAGACCCTTTTCAGTTTGCCCGAGGCCTGTTCAAGCAACCAAAGTCTGAGACTCTAGTTCAAGAAATGAACCTCTCGATGACAACCCATAGATCACCAATGGCATGAAGTGGTTTGAGTTGCTGAAAGGTAAAGTTTAAAACGATGTCTCCCTCTTGTTGAAGAAGTTGTGAAAGAGCCAGCGGCAAATCTGTCCCAGGACCCATTGGTGTCCCGTAAGTGATGTACAAACGATTGCTAAAGCTAGCGTGAAGCCTAAAGTACATATGTACCGAGTAGCAGAGAGCCAACCGAGTCAAAATTCCTAAGGAGCGAGACTCCTCTAATATATCCATATTCAGACCTATCTCGCTGTGGAACGTTGAGGGCAAGATATTCTTCTCGGTTATGGCAAGCAGACTCAAACAGTATCTGACGAAGGACAGATACATTGATACAGCAGTCCCAAAAGGTGGCACCCCGGGCGTCCCGCGTGTCTTGAGTATGCAACCATGATCTTGGCGAGTATTCAGAGATCTAAGGCAGAGAGAACTGAATTGCACGTGATATTGTTGGACTTCGCCAACCTCTTTAGGCGATATCCCATAAGCTATTATGCAACCGTGAACCTGCTGTTAGCCTGGGATATCATTATTTAACCTGTTTTAAGATATATCAACACCTCATAAATTATATGCAAATGTTTATTCTCTTGGTGTACTGTTTAATCCGCCCCTGCAGCTTTCCAGAGCTAACTCTAGAATGTTTTCTTTGTTAGAAGCTTTTTACAGTGGATATATATTCATTATCGCTAAATCTTCATATTTTCATATTTCTTGCAAAATAGTAGATAAGTCTTCACAACTTTTATTTTTACATTTGTGGCATTCCTCATTACCTCTCCATAGAGACCACAAATACAGGAGGATTTGTAATTCTAAACAACGAATGCTCCCACGTCACGTGACGGTCCCAGCATTTCCGCCATCTTATGTTGCTGGAGCACTGCCTCCTATTTCCTGTGGATATTCAAGTGTGAACACATTCTCGCTCGTCCTGGTGCTCGGGACGTCTCTGGGGCCCGGGATCGGATTTCAGTGACCGTTTGCATTCATTTTGAAACACAAAATGGCTGGGCAAAGCATCATGGACCGCGTTGTGGCGGCGAAACACAGCATCGCCGGACAGGGTCTGGCCAAGTCCGTTTGTAAGGCTACCACAGAGGAGGTCATAGGTCCGAAGAAGAAACATTTGGACTGTGAGTATTTACAGTAGATATTTTCTTCATGTCGAGTTTAAACACCTGTGGTTCATCATCGCCATTTCTTTTGCTGTCTCCACAGCAACAGAATGTCCACTTTGCCTTCTCTGTGGCTAACTTCAGTAGATGCTTGACCACAAGTGGCCTGACATGTAGTCTGGGGAAACGATTTTCTTCTTGAACCATGTCCAGTAGAAATGAAAATGGACCCAATGATGACTCAGTCAGTATCATCTCGTCTGATGATTTACAGGACAGCAACAGTCTCACCCTGCTCGACAACAGCCAAAAATGATTCTAGTGGCTAGTAAAACATTTCTTGATTTTTTTGTTATTATAACCCCCCCCCCCCCCCCCCTTTTCCCACTTCTTATATTTTTTTCTCTCTTTCAATGTTGATGATGATACAGAACCAGTAGTTATCTCTCTCAGTATTTGCCAAACTGTTATCTTGTATGACAGCAGTGATCACCTGTCCATCCTGTAGCAAACTTATCTATCACAGAAATCTGACCCCAAATGACTTGTACACAATGTTTACTTTTTTGATACCAGACAATAAGAAATAATATGTTAATGTTAACTCTGTGGTTTTCTAAAAAATGTTTAGTGACTTGAAATTATTTTAGGTAATAGTAAATTGCTTAGTTGACATGGGTTTAATGGGGCTGTCTGACAAAGAATGTAGATTAGATTTACATAATTATATACCTATGAGATAGAGTACAGTTGCATCAAAATATACTTGTCTGATAGAGTAGATAGAACAGCAGCATCACTATATAATTGTCTAATAGAAGACATAAGACTAACTGTTTGATAGAGAAGGCAGAGCACAATTACATCAGTATGTCACTGCCTTGGACAGGTGGTGTTATAGCATTATGTAACTGTATGGGAGAGGTGTGGTTACCACAGTATATGTCTGGGTTAGGTGTGGTTACCACAGTATATGTCTGGGACAGGTGTGATTACCACAGTATATGTCTGGGACAGGTGTGATTACCACAGTATATGTCAGGGAAAGGTGTGGTTACAACGGTATATGTCTGGGAGAGGTGTGGTTACCACCGTATATGTTTGGGACAGGCGTGGTTACAGCAGTATATATCTGGGACAGGCGTGGTTACAGCAGTATATGTCTGGGACAGGTGTGATTACAAAAGTATATGTCTGGGACAGGTGTGATTACAAAAGTATATGTCTGGGACAGGTGTGATTACAAAAGTATATGTCTGGGACATGTGTGCTTACAACAGTATATATTTGGGACAGGTGTGGTTACAGCAGTATATGTCTGGGACAGGGATATGGTTACAACAGTATATGTCTGGGACAGGTGTAGTTACAGCAGTATGTGTGTGGGAAGGAGACAGGCATGCTCCATGCAGTGGCAAGCATCGCTTCAGAGGTCCCGGGAAGTTAGCGTTCTTTGGATATTTTCTGCACCATATGCCAGTGTGTTGGGAAATGAGCAAGCAGATAGACTGGGGGGTTTTTCACCACTTGGTGGTGACTTAATGAATGACAAACTAAATGTTGTGCGGGCCCTTTGGAAGTTAGTGAACAGTGCGGAGGCACAAATAGATCATTACAGTCTTAGGAGAATGGCACTGCGAGGATTTACCAGGGAATCTGGTTGACACTCACGACTTAAGTGAAAAGCAAGACTGATATATAATCAGACAGTTGGTTCCATCATCATTGGAGCTCTTCGCTTGCTGCTGAAGATGGGGATGGAGCGCTTATGGGAGGGTCCCGAATGCTGTGATCTCAATTCAGCATTCAACAGTTATGATTTTTGTATTGCTTCTTACTCTCCATTCTTTGCTGTTTGCATTTTGATAGATATGCTTCCGTAATCTTTCCAGTTGTCACATATTCTATTGTGTTCTCTTCTGATACTGTAGCCAAAAAATTTCCAGCTGCATTGGGAGTGCTTATAGCTTTTGGTATCTCTGTTACCTGTGTTTTCTTGTATCATGGTTCCTCACCTTTGGGTGGGGGCCCCATTTGGGAGGGGTGTCAAATTAGGGGTTTCTTAAATCGGATATTTTGGACCAAAAGGGGCCCAAATATTGCAGCCTAGCTATACATGACAGCACAACCTGCCAACAGCCCTTCTAAGAGTGAGTGCACAAAAAGAAGTATACCTCATACAGCCACCAGACATTGTACATAATTACAAACACACAACAAAGCCACTACACTTTTTGCATCAGTACAGACACACAAAGCTATAATACATTGTACATCAGTATAGACGCACAACAAAAGCATCACATATTGTACCTTAGTGGAGACACACAAAAAAGCTATCACACATTGTACATCAGTGCAGACACACAACAAAGCCACCACACAGGGCACAAATACAGACACACAACAAAGCCACCACACACTGTGAACAAATACATATGTACAAAACACAGCTTCCACACATACTACACCAGAACCAACCTTAGCATTTTTTTTTGGCTATTTGTGATTTCACTAAGCAATTGTACATTCAGTAGTTTGCTCTTGATACCACTGTTGAATCCAGTACAAGGTGGTCTGTTGCCAAACTGCTTGCATCAAAGATTGAACCCAGCACCACAGAATTATGAGGCTCATTTCCAGTGCCTAAGCCACAGATAATGCAAACATTCAAAACAGCTACCCATGCATTTAAACACCAGTGCTCACGTACAAAACAGTGACCCACACATTCAACACCACTGCTTACATACAAAACGGCTATACCCACATACAAAACCAGTGCTTACATATTAACTGGCTACCCACAGATTCAGCACCATTGCATTCATACAAAACAGCTACTCACACATTCTACACAAGTGCTTACATACAAAACAGCTACTCACATTCTACACAAGTGCTTACATACAAAACAGCTGCTCACACATTCTACACAAGTGCTTACATACAAAACAGCTACTCACATTCTACACAAGTGCTTACATACAAAACAGCTACTCACATTCTACACCAGTGCTTACATACAAAACAGCTGCTCACACATTCTACACCAGTGCTTACATACACAACAGTTACCCACCCATACATTAAGCACCAGTGCTTAAATACAAGATCATTTTTGGGAGCTGATGGTCCTGACAAGTGGACGAGATGACCTGTCCAACAAATTTGTGAGGGATGGTGTTGATGATGTGAATGCCAGGGCTATCCAGCAGGACAGTATTCCGAACCCTGGCTTGCGACATGATGTTCGGTATCTTTTGCAGACTGTGTGGAAGAGCAAAATACATACATACGGATACAAAACCTTAAAAATTACATTTTTGTAGACATTTCATGATATGTACCAGCACTTGTTTTTCTTGGGGGAGAAGCCATGCCGTTTATTCCCGTTATTTATCAAGATAATAGCTAGTTAGTCTTTCTTCTTGGGACTAGGGCGGCGCACAGGGCAGAGATCATAGCTGTCCATGTGTGTCGGTTCGTTGCTACTTGCTTTAGCTCTTGGATGTTTGTTAGGCCCATGGTTGAGCCTTCTCTAATGATGGTTCTACGTAGTCTCTCTTGGTCTTCCTCATTTTCTTTTCCCTTCCGGTGTCCATATGAGGGCTTGATGGGAAAGTCTTGTCTTACCCATTCTGTGTACAAGGCTGATGTAGTTGATGTAGTTCCAGCGGCGCACTCTTATAAAACTGGATACAATGTTTTGCTTGGTCTCCTATTTGCATATTGGATTTGAAATCTGCGCAGTGGAGATTTTGTATTCTTCTAAGATCTAAGATATTTGTTCTCAAAATCGTCAATTAAAAAAAAATATCTAGAGATACCGTTGCTTTCACACTCTCGCATCCATATGTTATCACTAGAATCACACAAGAGTTGGAGATCTTAAGTTTTGTGTGATTGCCGAGTGACTTTGACTTCCAGATTTTTGACAGGTCGTTAAAGGCACTAGCTGCCAGTGCGATTATAGATGTTATTTCTGGTCCCTATTAGCTAGTTGTCTTCGATGAAATCCTTTGTAGCCTGCTATGCCAATCGGCTACTGGTCCTCTCCATACTGTTTCTGTGGCTATAGGGTCCCCCCGTATGTTTATTTCTTTGTATTACATCCGTTACAACACATTTACCCTGTGAGAGTTAGCAGTCGCAGCTCTCTGCCTCCAGCCCGCAAACTCAGCTATTTGCCCGCTAACGCATCTCTGCGCCCTGCCCGCAAACTCCCCGAGACTCTAGTGGTAAGTTAAGTTTCTCACAAATCGAAGGTAGCGCTTGTACCATTAGTAATCGATAGTGCTCGATTGTTGTCTGTGACTCCCACATCCGTCTCTGCAGCCCCTTGCCTCCTGCAATCGATTGATCGGCCGCGCTGGAAGAAACCCCGCACGGGTCCGGCCTACAACGAGCATGCACTGACTGGGCCGGTTCCTTGTGGGCTGTGAATACTGCGTCCTAGTGTTGCTGCTGGTGTGGTGACAGTGGTTGCGGCGGCGTCTGCAGGCCTGTGTGTGGGCTTTGTGGGTTGTTTGTTAACCTGCATGGGGAGGGCGGTCAGTGTTTGTTATTTGGATCGGAAGACGTTTCACATTGTCAGTTTGATCGGATGTTGAAGAGGGAGAGTTGGGCTGCTGCTTGTCAGTTGGCCGATTGCCTTCTATAGTGTACGCGTAACACACACACGGAGAGAGAGAGAGAGAGAGAGAGAGAGAGAGAGAGATCGTGAATTGACTGCTTAGATGTGGCAGGGGGTTTTGGGAACTTTCTGTTATTCTCAATGTTCCTGAGCGCATCTACTTCGGAGGAAAAAATTGCTAATTAGTCGCCTTTTTTAATCACATGCTTGTTGGGTAGGCAAAGTGTATGCCCCCCCCCCCCCCTAATGGGAGCCCAGAACCGATCGGGAAGTTTGGGGATCTAATATATTGCTTCTTGTTTGGTTGTCTGCTAGAGTGAGTGATCACACGCACATACTCATATGTTCACAATAACGACACTGTAGCCTTTTACGTTCCAGT